AGCTGGGCTAATATGGGCTGGGCCAGGCTAAGGAGAACTGAGCTGGGCTGAGCTGGGCTGAGCTGAGCTAAACTAGGTTCGGCTGAGCTGAGCTGAGCTAAACTAGGTTCAGCTGAGCTGGGCGAGGCTGAACTGACCAGAACTGAACTTGGCTGGGCTGGGCTAACCTAACCTGACCTAACTTGGGTACAGGGTGCCTAGGTTGGGCTGCGCTGGGCTAAACTGGGTTCAGCTGAGATATGCTAATGTGGGCTGGGCTGAGTCAGGTTGAGGTTAACTGAACTGGGCTGGGCTGGGCTGGCCTTGCCTGAATTGGGTTTGGTTGGGCTGGGCCAACTGAGCTGAGGTGGATGGAGTTGAGCCGAACTGGCCTGGCCAGGCCCGAGCTGGATCACACTGGGCTGGGCTGGGCTGGGCTGGGCTGGGCTGGGCTGGGCCGGGCCAGGTTGAGTTCAGCTAAACTGGGCTAGGCTGGGCTGGGCTGGGCCAGGCTAGGGTGAGTTCAGCTAAACAGGGCTGGGCCAGGCCGAGTTCAGCTAAACTGGGCTGGGGTGGGCTGAATTCGGTTCAGCTAGGCTGAGCAACACCAAACTGGACTGAGCTGGCCTGAGCTGTGATTGGAAGACCTGGGCTGAGCAGGACTGACCTGAACAAGCTTAGCTGGTTGGGCTAAGCTGGGCTGAGCTAAATTGGGTTGAGCTAGGCTGGCTGAGGGACCTGAGAGGACAGGGTTAGAAGCTGGACTGAGCTGGGCTTAGACTGTTGAACTGAGTTGAGCTGGGGTGACCTAAACTTGGCTTGGCTGGGATGAGCTGATCTGGGCTGAACTAGGCCTGCCGAGTGGGCTGGGCTGGGCTAACCTAGGTTCAGCTGGGCTAATATGGGCTGGGCCAGGCTAAGGAGAACTGAGCTGGGTGGAGCTGAGCTAAACTGGGTTCAGCTGGGCTGGCGAGGCTGGACTGACAGAACTGAACCTGGCTGGGCTGGGCTGAACTAGGCTAGCCTGAGCAGGCTGAGCTGGGTTGGGTTGGATTGAGTTGGGTTGGGTTGGGCGGGGCTGGGCTAACCTGGGTTCAGCTGGCCTAGGTTGGGCTCAGCTGGGCTGACCTGGACCAGGCTGGCCTAGAGTGGACCTCAGAGGGTGACTCCCCAGGTGGGCTGGTCTCCACTGACCTTGGCTGTCCCAGTGGGCAGAGTGGGGCTGGACACTGTGATTTTGGGGGTACCTAGAGCAGACTTTGAGACCAAGCTAAATGCAGCTCCAGGGGCAGGATGGGCTGGGAATCTGGGGCTCCAGGCCAGAAGTGAGGGCCTCACTGTGCAGACGGCTCTGTCCAGGCCAGGGGGCTGTTGTGGAGAGACCACCTGGGGGGCATCAGGGCAAATCTTTCCACCTTCCCCTAGAGGCCAGTGCAGGCAGAGCATGTGGGGGTCTGGCAGGCCAGGCGAGGGCTGCTGTGATGGAGAGACTGAGGCTCAGCACTCAGGAGCCTGAGGAGCTGAGCCCACAGCATCGGGGAGTGGGGGCCAGGGTTGGAGGCCCGGCAGACCACCCACCGTAAGCCCAGTGAAATTTTGAAAGGGAAGGGCTCTGGGTCCCGGGCTTCAGCCTAGGGGCGTGGCCCAGTGCCTCTGCTCCCGAGTGCCCAGGCTTCAGCACTTAGGGTGGAGGCTGGGGTCATCCTGGGGCACCCCCACCTTCCTGAGCCCAGCCTGAGGACAGTGGCTGAGCAACAGCTTCGTAGGGGAACAGGGGCCCTGGGAGGTGCCCTGGGCCTGGAGCTTGTGGGGAAGCACAGGGTGGGGAAAGACCCAGAATGAGCCTGGCCATCTGGACCGCTGGGCTGCCCCAGCATCCCCAGCTCCCCCACAGGGACTCCCTCAGCCCGATGGGCTGGCCCGGGGCTGGTGCTGACCAGGCTCTGTCCTCACAGCCTCCACACAGCACCCATCCGTCTTCCCCTTGATCCCCTGCTGCAAAGAAGTTAAGAACAAAACCTCCGTGACCATGGGCTGCCTGGCCACAGGATACTTCCCCATGCCAGTGACCGTGACCTGGGACACAGGCCCCCTCAACGGGATCATTGTGACCCTCCCAGCCACCACCCCCATGGCCTCTGGCTACTACACCACCACCAGCCAGCTGACTGTCTCGGGTGCATGGAAGGAGCAGACGTTCACCTGTAGGGTGGCACATACTCCATCGTCCCCAGACCCGGTCAAAAAAACCTTCAGAGGTAAGAGCGGGCCAGGCTCAGAGACCACAGGTTCGAAGCAGGAGAGACTTCCCTGGAATGCCAGGCTGAGGGCTGGCAGAGCAGGCAGGGGGTGAAGCGGGGGAGGACTCTGACACTGGGAACACCCAGCATGCTTGGGGACCCGGCCAGGACATGGGGGCAAGAGCATGGCGCAGAGCTCGGGGAGGCCAGCAGTGCTCATGACCACTAGCTCTGCCCGCAGTCTGCTCCAGGGATTTCGACACGCCCACCGTGAAGGTCCTGCAGTCCTCCTGCGACGGCGGCGGGCACTTCCCCCCGACCGTCCAGCTCCTGTGCCTCGTTTCCGGGTACACCCCAGGCGACCTCAACATCACGTGGCTGCAGGACGGGCAGGTCGTGGACGTGAACTGGACCATCTCTGCTCCCGTGCTGGAGGGCAAGCTGGCCTCCAGGCAGAGCGAGCTCATCCTCACCCAGAAGCGCTGGCTGTCCGACCACACCTACACCTGCCTGGTCGACTATCAAGGCGAAACCTTTGAGGAAAGCGCCAAGAAGTGTGCAGGTACGTTCCCACCTGCGCTGGCGGCTGCCACAGAGGCCAGGGAAGAGGGGCGGGCGGGCCTCACACAGCCTTCCTGTGTGACACAGATTCCAACCCCAGAGGGGTGAGCGCCTACTTGAGCCGGCCCAGCCCCTTGGACCTGTTCGTCAGCAAATCCCCCACGATCACCTGTCTGGTGGTGGACCTGGCGCCCAGCCGGGAGACAGTGAACCTGACCTGGTCCCGCGCCAGTAAGAAGCCTGTGCCCCAGGTGATCCCAAAGCATCAGAAGCAGCGCAATGGCACGGTCACCGTCACGTCCACCCTGCCAGTGGGCACCAGAGACTGGATCGAGGGGGAGACCTACCACTGCAGGGTGACCCACCCCCACCTGCCCAGGGCCCTCGTTCGGTCCATGACCAAGATGAGCGGTGAGCTGCAGGCAGTCCCGGGCCGGGGAGGGAGGGAGTGGAGCCCGCGCTGACCCCACCTCTGGCCCCAGGCCCGCGCAGTGCCCCGGAAGTCCACGTGTTTGCAACGCCAGAGGAGCTGAGGAACCCGGACAAGCGCACCCTCACCTGCCTGATCCAGAACTTCCTGCCCATGGACATCTCGGTGCAGTGGCTGCACAACGGGGTGGCGCTCCCGCCCTCCCGGCACAGCACCACGCCGCCCCACAGGACCAAGGACTCCGGCTTCTTCGTCTTCAGCCGCCTGGAGGTGACCAGGGCTGAATGGGAGCAGAAAAACGAGTTCATCTGCCGTGCGATCCACGAGGCAGTGAAAGACTCACAGACTGTCGAGAAAGCGGTGTCTGTAAATCTCGGTAAATGACGTCCTCCTGCCTCCCTCCCTCCCAGGGCTCCGTCCAGCGGTGCGGTGGGGAGGGCTGGCCAGACTTTCTGTCCACTGTTGCCACGACCCCAGGAAGCCACCCCCAATAAACAGTGCATGCTGAGAGCCCTGGGGGCAGCTGTTCTTGGGAGCGGGCAGGGCTGTGGGCAGGGGCCTCTTGGCACAGAGGAATGGGCCGCCCAGGAGGGGAATGGGAGGAGGTGACAAGGCCAAGGCGCCGCTCAGCCATCTGCCTTTGTGTCAGGGGTATTTGTCAAACAGCACATTCTCAGGCCCTCATCACAGATGCCCCGGGCGCTCTCTGCCCCCACTCTGGGTCCACCCTTTCCAGAGTCCAAAGATCCAGGGGAGGTCCTTAGGGAAGGGAGCGAGGGAGTCCAGCCCCCACAGCCCTCTTTCTCCTGGGGGCTTGGCTTCTACACCCCAGACAGGAGCCCCTTCACCCCCAGGTGTAACTGGGCACACAGGTCCCTCCAGGTGGAGGAACAGCCCAAGTGAAACCCCCACACAGACACGTAGGACCCCAGACAACCCTCCCCAGACAGACAGCCCTTCCCAAGTCTGTACCATTGGCATTCACCTCTTTACCCTGTCCCACCTGGGGCTAGTGGGGCCAAGCCCACCCACACCCCACAGCCTTCACCACCCTGCCCCGTGGGCACACCAGGCCCCGCCTGAGTCCACCCTGAATCTGCCGCCAGGGAACCACCAGCCTCACACACCCCATCATACCCTCGCACGCCTCACCCCAGGCACAGAGCTGTGCACGTGCCAAGCGCACGGCAACTACACAGCACCATGCACCATCCCCAGGGCGCCATGGGTACCCACACATGCTCACACCTGGCCCACACTCTGCCTCGCATGCGAACTCCAGCTAAGCTCCTCCCAAGTCCTTCCTCTGAGGCATACCTGGGCCGCTGGGTCCCAGACAGAAACGGAGAGGCCCACACATGGCTTGGCGTCCTCCAGTCCAACCCCCACTGTCACCCCGTCAGCTGCACCCCACAGCCAAACACAGGACAGATGCGCCCCCAGGACGTGGCCTCCATCCCACTCCCTTCTTGCCCACACCAGAAGCCCAGAAGAGGCTACATGCCCCTCCCAGGCCTCAACCCACAGGTGGGTATCTGACATCCCCGATCCAAACAGTACCCCTGTCATGCACAGCTGCACACCAAGGGCACAGCACCCACCAAATCCACACAGAAACACAGGCACCAGGCACCCCACGGGCCCAAAGCCCCCGTGTCTGAAGACACAGTCCCTGCACACCAGCAGGGCAGTGCACTCGGCCTCTGTCATGCCCCAGCCCAGCCTCACCCAGCTCCAGGCCAGCGGCAGCAGAAAGTGGTTGTGTGAGCCCCCAGCACTGGACCCACGCCTGCTGGTGACCTGGGACTAGCAGGCAGCTCAGGGTGTTGGGGAAGGGAGTGGAGGGGACCCGGGCCCAGGGCAGGAGGAGCCAGAGGGACTAGGCTGGGCTGTGGCTCATAGTCCACACCAGGCCATCCCCTCAGAGCACCCGTGCAGTGATTCCCAGGTCCTAGGAGCCAGGCCACACAGCTCACACACCCTTCCGAGGGCCCAGAGTGGGGCAGCCACTCGTGTGCCAAGGGGCCGGGTCCCTCTCTGGGGAGGGGATGGGGTCTGGAGAGGCGGAGTGGGAGCAATCAGAGGTCAGGAGGGAAGCCATAAGGAGCAAAGGCAAAATGCTGGGTCACCTTGGGGCCAGGGCGGGGCCAGGGAGGTCCGGAGTGGTCAGCCTGGCCCTGGGCTGGGGACTGACTCGGGACCTGGGTCCCTACCTCAGGGCTGGCCAGAGGCTCTGCGCAGTCCCAGAGGGCCCCGGACAGGGTACTCTGCCACTGCAGACAGCAGCAGGGCCTGGCAGGAGCAGCAAGGGGCTCTGTCCCCCGCCCCCGCTGCCACTGCGGAGCCGGGAGGGCTGACTGGCCGGGACCCCCCGAGCTAGAAGTGTGTGTGGAGGAGGCCGAGGGCGAGGCACCGTGGACGTGGACTGGCCTCTGCATCTTCGCCGCACTCTTCCTGCTCAGCGTGAGCTACAGCGCCATCCTCACGCTCCTGATGGTGGGCACCCACCCCCAGGGGCCAGGTGGGGCAGGGGGCTGGGCAGAGCGGGCGGAGGGCCCTGACTCAGCCCTCCCCTCAGGCCCAGCGGTTCCCCTCAGCCCCGAGGCAGGGGAGGCCCCGGACCTCCCACGACTACGCCAACATCCTCCAGCCTCACACCTAGGCCTCGGGCCCTCGAGCTCCACCAGGCCCGGCTCTTTCCCTGCCGGTGCTGGAGCCCCCCTTGGCTGCGCCCTGCCCCAGGTGGGAAAAGGGAAGCAGACAAGCCTCTCCAGGGGCACAAGGACACCACTGTGGGCTGACAGCCGGCGACCCTGAGCCCAGCTGCAAGGTTAAAGCACCGATGAGACCGCCGGTCGCAGCCCCTGCGCCAGAATAGCGTCCGTCCCTTCCACGGAGTCATCGAGGCAGGGGTGGCTGCGGCCACTCTGAGCTTGGCCCCTGGGTCTCACAGTCCGTCCCGTTCTGACTGTGCAATCACCAAAACACAAGGAGGGCCCAGTGCCTGGCGTCCAGCCCAGGACACAGTTGGGTCCATGTCCAGCCCAGACCAGCCCACGGCCTCGCTCAGGTCAGACTTGGCCTGACCATTCCAGCCCCGAGGCCCAAGTGCCCAAGTACCTGGCCTCCCGGTCCCCCAAGCCTTGCCCAGGCCCTTTCCCTTCACCCACCCGCCCCTCCTGCCATTTGTCCACAGTCCCCATCCCTGTAGAGTAAAGGCACCAGCAAGCCCTCTGAGGCCAGGCCGCAGGACTATTTGGGGCTTCAGGCCCCTGGGGTGGGTAGAGGGGCTTCCACTGCCAGAGAAGGGGTTTCCTGCAGGGACAGCAGCTGCTGACCTCGCCCTGTGACCTCGCCCAGCTTCTGGCTTCAGCAATCCTATTTCTTTCCCTCTGGATTTCTTAGTAAAGTTCCTTTTTACAAACCCAAGGTCTCCAAGTGCTCTTTGGGAGGTGTCTGCGGCCCTGGAGTGGCTGGTGGGAGGCAGGACCCCTGAGGACTGGAGGGGGAGCCAGAGGGCAAGGAGCTCACGCCTGCAATCCCAGCACTTCGGGAGGCTGAGGCAGGCGGATCATGAGGTCAGGAGTTTGAGACCAGCCTGACCAACATGATGAAACCCATCTGTACTAGACAGACAAAAAGTAGCCAGGCATGGTGGCGGGTGCCTGTAGTCCCAGCTATTCGGGAGGCTGAGGCAGGAGAATCGCTTGAACCTGGGAGGCAGAGGTTGCAGTGAGCCGAGATGGTGCCATTGAACTCCAGCCTGGGCAAGAGAGTAAGACTCTGTCTCAAAACAAAGAAGAAAAGTGAAAGTAAGGAGGGATGAAGGGGGTTGGGGGATGCTGGGGATGGGGGTGCTTCTGGGCCCTGACTGAGGGCACTTGAATTGCTAAGACCACCTCACTCTGTGCCAGGAGACCCACGCCACACAGAGCCTGGCACACACTGACAGGGCCCCACAGGGAGAGCCACACTCTGTGCCAGGAGACCCGCACCACACAGAGCCTGGCACACACTGACAGGGCCCCACAGGGAGAGCCGCACTCTGTGCCAGGAGACCCACATCACAAGGAGCCTGGCACAAAGTGGAATGAAGCAAGCCTGCCAGGGTCCGACAGTGGCACGTGGGTCCTCCGCCCCGTCCACCTCGGGGACCTCGGAGCAGCCAGGCATGGGGGAGAAGGTGAGGAGCGACGGCTCCCTGTGGGGTGGAAAACGCCAAGGTGGGCAGCGCCAAGGCCACTGGGTCCAAGCAACATTGGAGGAGGGGCGTGGCAGGGCATGGCCAAGGCCACAGCCACTGCCCAGAGCTCCTCACACACTCGATCATTCACAGACACACATAGGCACACACTCACACAGGCAGAAACACACACAGTTTCACACACACACAGACTCAAGCTCTCACACTCACACGCGTGCACTCACACAGACCAATCGTGCAGCCACAAACACACGCTCACACGCTCGGACACGCTCACACCAACACACACACGGCCTCAGGAAGCCAGGCCCCCAGTCCACCCCAGCACCAGCCAAGGTCCCGCAAACCCACCTCTCCTACGACAGACCGGCCCTCCAAAGCCAAGGTCCCTGGACCGGGTGCCTCTCCAGGGGGCAGAGCTCAGTGACTTCTTTCTCTTCCCTGCACCCTAGATCATGAGACCCCCATGGACCCCAGAACAAGGACAACAAGGGGTTGGCTTACTGCCCCGCTGTGTGCCAGACATCCTCACACACGGAGAATTCCACCTCCTCGAAGGCCTGAGAGGGAGGCGAGATGGGCACCCACGTAGAGGAGACATACGGGGCCCGTGGGGAGGGGCGAGGCCTGGATCCACACCCAGCTCGGAACAGTGCCCCTGCCTTCCACGTGGCCTGGCCTCCCGGGACTAGGAGGGTGCCCTCGTCCCCCTCTTTATTCTCCTGTTAACCCACCAGTGAGTACAACGGTGGCCCCAAAAGATGTAGCCACCTCCTAACCCCTGGGGCCATTGGGCGTGGTGCTATGTGTTAAAAGGGCCTTTAGATACAGTCAAGGTAAGGATTTTGAGATCACGGCGTCCTGGATGACAGAGGGGGCCTAGATCCCAGCACGAGTGTCCTGGCTGGAGACAGACGAGGAGACACAGGGGTGGGGAGAGGCAGCAGCATGCGGGGATGGTGCTGTGGGCTGAGTATCTGTGTCTGCCTGAAACTCGTGTGTGACGGCCCTAATCCCAGGGTGAGAGCGTGCAGAGGTGGGGCCTTGGGGGAGTGGTTAGGGCCTGAGGGGAGAGCCCTCAAAAATGCAGTTCGTTCCCTCATCTCACTAGAGACCCTAAAGAAAAGCGACCCCAGAGAGCAGCCCTGCCCTCTTTCCACCTCATGAGGACACAGCAAGGAGATGGGGGGTCTGTGAACCCGGAAGCGGCCCTCACTGGACCTTGACCCTGCTGCCATCCTGACCTTGAACTTCCAGCTTGAGAACTGTGAGAAATGAGTGTGTGTTTATGAATCCACCCAGTCTCTGGTATTTTTGTTATTGCAGCAAGAAATGAGTAAGACGCGGCGGCAGGGTCCCCCTGTCAAGGGCTGTGGTCATCCCAAGCTTAATAACCAAAGCTCCAGAGCCTCCTTGAACCGCCAGGGTGTCTTCCCAGGACACTGGGGCAGCCCCAGGCTACCCCCCTCCTCCTCTGCCCCCACCTGCCGTGGCCTGGCCTCACAGTCACTCCCTGGATTTCACCCCATAGCACCACGGCCAGGCCTCTTCCACTCCCACTGCAGTGGTTCCTCTGTGAAGCGCCCCGGCCTCCCATTGCCGGTGCCACCAAGCCCCCGGGAAGAGCTGGCCTCCCCCGAATGCAGGCCAGCATCGCCCCTGGGATCTCTCCAACACAGACCCGCAGTAGGAGCACTGCCTGGGCATGGGGGGTGGGCAGCGCTGGACAGGTCCAGCAGGCACTTGGTCACCCTGAGCTGCAGGGCTGCAGGCTAGATGGGGCACTCCCCACACCCCCAGTCTGGGCTGCAGTCTGGGGCCCCCAGCAGCCCATGGGGCAGGCCGAGGGGCCAGGTTGGAGTGGCTCCAGCCCAGCGGCACGAAACTCACTCTCCCCAGGCTGATGCCCACCCTGTGGCCCCAAGTCCCCTCTCACCAGGGGTCCACTCACAGGCGCCCTTCCCCTGCAGACCCTGGGGACCCTCTGGCCCTGTGTCTCCCTTTCTCGTCTCTGTCTTGGGATCTCTGAGCCTCTGTGTCAGTTTCTGCTTCCCTGCATCTTGGCCCCCACCGCAGCCCTGTGGAGCCACGAAGCTCCCAGCCCACGGGGTCACAGAGCCCTGGCCACACACACCTGGCCCCACCACAGCCAGACCACAGACCAGACATGACGTGGAGGTGCGCAGTCGTGTCTGCCGGGGCAGGAAGTGGGCGACTGACCTCGTCTGTAGGCCAGACACACAGGCATGCCGGCCCTCCCCGCCAGTCCCCAACATCCAGCCAAATCGGTGGACACAGCCAGAGCGGCAGAGCAAGGGTCTACTGAGGACAGAGGGCCATCAAGGCAGGGCCTGGGCCTAGCCTGGGCTCCCTTTCCACAACAGCCCCTCTTGGCAGGCAGCCAGACCCCCGTGAGGGCGGACCTGCAGCCATGGCGCCCACATGCCGGAGGCTGCCCACTCAGCCCTGCAGACCCTCCAGCAGCCTAAGCAGGTGGGGCTCAGCTCTCCAGGCCTCCGCGTCCTCTTCTGCACATTGAGGCGTCCAGCCAGGCTGATCCTAGGCCTTTCTGGGGACAAAAGATGGAGAGCAGGCACCAAGACCAGAGGGAAGGAGGAAAGAGGCCACCACAGAGACCCCAGAACCACGGGCAGGACTCCATACCCAGCACGAAGGACCTGGCACTGGGGCCCAGCCAGGCTGGCCAGGCCTACACTGAGATGACCCAGCCCTTCCTGGGATGCAAGGTGAAAAGCTGTCGGGGCCAAGCTGAGACCTAGGCTGAGCCAAGCCAGAGAAGAAGAGCAGATGACCTGGGGCCAGCTGACGCAGGTCCATGGGGGCTGCCCTGAGCTGCCCTGGGCTGAGTTGTGCTGGGCTGAGCTGAGCTGGGCTGGGCTGGGCTGGGCTGAGCTGACCTGGGCTGAGCTGGGCTGACCTGGGCTGAGCTGGGCTGGGCTGGGCTGGACTGAGCTGAGCTGAGCTGAGCTGACCTGAGCTAGGGTTGGGCTGCGCTGGGCTGGGCTGAGTTGGGCTGGGCTGGACTGGACTGAGCTGAGCTGACCTGAGCTGGGCTGGACTGGACTGAGCTGAGCTGACCTGACCTGAGCTGGGCTGAGCTGGGTTGGGCTGGGCTGGACTGAGCTGAGCTGACCTGGACTGGGTTGGGCTGGGCTGGGCTGGGCTGGG